GCGGATAACTGAACTAACTCCACCACCCCCCATAGGATACTGCATTGGTTCTCTCTCTCTCTCTCTCTCTCTCTCTCCCTCTCCAAAGCAACATACAAAAACAAATGAATAAAGAAAGCAATATTGAAAAGCGAAAAAATCAAACTTTCTTGGATTCAGCAAAAAGGTCGAATTGATTCATGAATCGTAACAAATACAAACGGATGCCGATCGAAACAATTTAATGGAGAATAACATTAGATTCGCTTTAGTCGCACCAAGAGATGCGATTCATCGTGAATCCATTAATGGCTCTCAGAAGAGTAGTCTGAATAAAGGGGTTTCTAATCGAAGCAATCCAGAAGAGCTTCACCGGAAAAAATGAAAAGTTGACCACCAAGTATCTTTCCATATAAAGAAACTAGTCTAGCTATCCTACTTAATTTCTTCTGAATCAATAAACCCAGTAGAAAAGAAAAGGTTGGGTTTTCATTTCATGCATCCTGTAAGTTTCTTAGACCGTAGCTATACTTCATCCCAGCTAGATTATCAATATAAAGTACATAACCCTCTTAATGTAATATCAATATCTCTTTTCTTCTTCTGGTTTCAAGTATCTCCTTTGAAAATTTAATCCAAAATAGAAACAATATAACCATTGTATATAGGTGGTAGTTAGAGCTTAGAAGATTTAAACGATTTATGATTAATAATGACATTAAATTGAGTAATTGACCATGACCACCATTAGCTGGTGGTCACTGCCATTATTAGATTCAAGCCCTTTAATTCGTGGACCAGATCGGCTGGCTGCCTGGCTGTTGGCATCTGGACAATTAGATGCAGAATTTGGGATACGGGTTGGTGGGTTCTATTACAAGTGCAACTGCTAGAAATCAGGCTGCACTGTAAACGTACCAAAACAAGTAGTGGGCTTGTGGCGCAAGCATCCAAGTCAAGTGGGGAGGCTTCGTTGGAGCCTTGGAGGGGATCCCCATCACGAGGCCAACAGTAGTACGATTACGATGAAGCCATGAAGGTGTGTGGTTAAGGAATGTGTAGTCTAAAAATCCCTTTTAAGTTTCAGGGCTCTCATACTTGGTCTTGTCCTCGTCTACCTCTCAAGCCTCTCAAAAAATAGGCCCAATGTATATATTTTGCTCCACGGGGTTACACAATCCGGGTAGCCGAGGCCGGATTTGCTCCTCACATAGCATATCTCACACTCACACCAACTTCACAGCATTTGCAACCGTATATCAGAATTCAGATATATCTCCCATATGTATACATTCACTCATCTCAATGCGCGACTGCAACGTTTTATGAGATTGATATGAGGCCTGCTCCGTGAGAAACAAATCCGAATTCGGAGTAACCCATCCCCCTTACCCATTAACCCCAAATCCTGGTGGCAAGTGGCAAGGGGATTTGATCCCAAGGTCTTTACTATAACTAGCAAGAGAAATTACCAAACTTTTGTATTGTAGATCCATGTAGGCCCAATATTGGAAAATGCAGATTAAGACCAACTTTTATTAGATCCATGTAGCCCATCTGTTGGTAAATTAAATACACAGCAGCACACACATGTGGCTGTGGTTATGGATATGAGGAAACAAAATTTTGTGAAAGTACCAAGTACCCACTTTGGTGATGGGATAATAACATGGATGACAAACGTAAGTTGTTGATCATTTATTTTGGGAGGTAAAGTAGCTGCCTGGAATTTATACACATCACATTCTTCAAAATTATCCGAGCATTGGGTTTGGGACCCATCCCATCCCACAGACTTTTTATACAAACACTACTTTAATGAAAAAAAGGAGACCCTCACATTAATTTGCTGCCCGGAAAAAAAATATAAAGTAATTGTTCGCATTCTCTTATGAAGGTAGCTTTGAACTACTTACTTCCCTATCAACTCATCTTATGGCTGCTTTACAACTGCTACAGCTTTAGCTAAAGATCTGTTTGGTTATAACAATACTGAAAACGCAGACCCAACCTCTGATTTCTTATCCACGCATCAAAAAGACAACAAGGGTCTCCACTCTACACTAACAGAGAGGATTTGGGTTGCTTATTAATCCATATTGGTTCAGGGCCAACCCATCAATTCTAGGTTTTGGTTTGGTGTGGATTGGTATATGCACCGTACACCATAATAGGTGCAACCAATTCGGAAGCCCATATGATCAAAAGACACAATAAGGCTATGTTTCGTTTCAAGGAAAAAGTAGAGGAACCTATACAAGTACAAGCCTTGTAAAGGTTTTTTTACATTTGTGTCTAAGTTTTGGGGGTCTTGCCTATAAAAATAAAGACTATTCCATCTATTGGACTTTTAAAAATATGTTTAGAGGTTATTATATCATACGAGTCAAATCTGTTTACATTTTGCGTAGGATTAAGAACTTAGTGTAGAGAATGAATATTAGGTGGACCCATATCTTACCAGAAGAAGGAAATCATTGTGTTAATCTCCTAGATAATACAGGAATTGATGAAAGATACACACTTAAAGTGATCAATGGCAATTCCCAAATTCCTAGAGATTTGGCTCGTCTTATTCATGAAGATAATTTGGATTTTTAGAATTAACTAGGTTTTGCTACTACGCCTTTTTTTGAAGATGATGAGGGAGAGCTGTGTATGTTTGGGTAATGAGACAAGACGGGCTAAGTCCTTCCCTATTATTATAATTTTTTTTTTTGAAAATGGTTAATAAAATTTAAGATGATCGTCCCTCCACCTGAACTAAAATTTGGGATTAAAAAAATATATTATATATCATATATAAAGATCAGAAAACTTCATTTAAATCTTTCTATGCATACGTCTTCTCGTTTTTCTAAATTTTGATTACTAAACAGAAAAAGACCGACTTGTGTTCTTTGGAACTTGCTGAAGCCGAGAAGACCATGCAATTATCAAACGCGGCCTTAGTTTTTGCCTTAAAAAATTACTGCACCAATTAATCCATACGTTACACCAAGTAGCAACAAAATAAATAATTCATTACACCACATTCTTTGGTGTCAACTCAGTGGAGTCAAATCGAAATCAAAATCCTACTTAATGAATCGATAGGAAAGAGAAGCCTTTACTCTCCCTCTCTCTGATGTATAGTTTGGGATCAAACTTTTATTGTTCAGTCCACCTCAGAAATTTGAGTCTCATGGTACAAATGGGATGAATCCCGTAGGTCGATGTCAAATCTACGATCAAGATGTGATTTATAAAGGATTATTAATAGATTAAGAAAAGACTGTAATTTTAAATTTCTGAAGTGGAGTATAACCTATTTATCCCTATCTAATAACTAGAGCTGTACGATTACGACTTAAACTATTTCCCAGCTCATAACCCTACGTGGAGTTTCATGCGATACAAGAAAAAGTACCTCTTTTTAAAAAAATACTTTGACTACATCACTAACAACCATAAAAGAAAAAATATATATTTATTTTAATTTTTCTGGGTTGTTTAATATGGATGGAATAAGAAACTCAAGATACCCTCATAAATATGCAACTCTCGGACGAAATATCTAGGATATTTTTATTAAAATATTCAATTATATACTAAAAATTTCATTGTTATGGGAGTGGACCCTTTCATGAAATGTTTGGGCTATGTTTGGTTGATAGAAAGTAAGAAAAAAATGGAAGTAAATGGAAAATTCTTCAGAAATTCTATAAAAATGCTCATAATTTTCCATTAACTTTATGCTTTTCATATTTTTTCATCAAACCAAACACAACCTTAATTCTTTTCATTTTTATGGATTGGAGGTTAGGGGTGGTCGGGTGGGAGTGGGACAAAAATCAAATGCAAGCCTCAATCTATGAAGTTTTGTGCAGATGTTAGTATATTAGTCCTCTAGTTTAATCAGTTTAGGTTCAGTTTGGAAAGAGTACAAATATAAATATATACAATGTAAATACATAAAAATTATAAGGTTTTACACTTTATAAATTTACATTTGTGCTCTTTCCAAACTGAGCCTTAGGACCATGTGGTCATACTTAATTCAACTCAACAGGATTGGTTTCATGTATTTACCCCTGTTGTATCTTGTATAAATTGATATGCATATATTACTAAAAAATAATAGAGACTTAAAAATAAACCAATTAGAACTTGCAACCACCAAGTCATATGTTGTGAAAGGTCATAGATTGTGTTTGGATCGTTGAAGAATTAGAGTCTAGCAGAATGAATGCCATCTAAATTCTGCAAAACTAAAATGCCTAAACCCCTTCTAACAATTTTAAAATCCTTAACACTTGCCACTCAAATCTAAAAAATCGCTAGTTCCAAATTTGCTTCCACTAAGGAAATGGAGCCAAACAACAGAATCCCAGCAACTTGTACACTACTCTGTGAATCCAATTTCAGCTGTCGCTTCTTATCGGATCCAAACAAATCCTTAGTGATTTATGACCAAGGAGAATATGGCTATAGAGGGAATCTAATTATTCGAATTTGATCAGATCAAGAAATCTTATCTAATATAATTTGATTCGTTTAGATTCAAATTATATAATATATATATATAATTTTAGTTCATTTAATGTATAATATAAATATATATAATTTTATTATTTATGCTTTTTACTATTAGATTGCAATCCGAATTCGAATTGAATGTAAAGGGGAAGTTGCGATTCCAATTCGAATATAAACGAATCAGATTTGAATCTAGCTATATCCGATACGATTCGTCGATCCATTTGTAATTTGCAAGTTGAAGCTGAGAACGGAAGAAATAGGGACAGAATGGTCAATGTGGGATTTAGGGGAGGGGCCCTAAAAACAAGATGAAAAGGAGGTGAATGAACAGGAAAGTAGGGGTGAAACTGAAAAAGCGAAATTTAATGAAGGGTTGCGCGGAACAAGAGGAGAGGGACCTCATTGTACCATAAGAGTCCCATTTCTGTGCTGGGTCCCACGAACCCCACCCTTCTTCTGTCTTTCTCTAACCCCTCTCTCTACCTCATCTGGCCTAAAACTAGGCTTACGCTCGCTCTCCCTCTCCCTCGGTCTCGCTTTCTTTCTCTCTCAACACCCTAGTATTGTGTGTGTCTTTGCAATATGATGGAGAAAGATGAGGTCGGTTGGAGGTCGCTGTGAAAAGCACACGTAGTCCTCCGCTCTCTACTAAAACCCTCTCACCCTTCTCTCTCCCATACTCTCTCCCTCCTTCTCCTCTCCTCCTAATCCTTCTCTGCGTCTTAATAATTTCTCTCTACCTCTACTGGAAAATGTGTGATACTCGTTAGCCTCTTTACTAGTTCTCTGTGTCTCTCGCGCTCTCTCTCTCTCTCTCTCTCTCGCTCGCCTGCTCTCCCTCTGTGTGTGTATGTTTGTTCTGCAAGACTTGCTTCGAAATAGGATTCATTCTTGAGTCATTAGCACAAAGAGAAACAAGGACGCTCATTTATTTCTTTCATTCACTCCCTCAAGTCTGCCCGTCTCTCCGGTGATCCGTGACTTCTGAATTTGCATTGACGTCTCTTTTTCCTTCTCCTGTGTGTGTTTTGTACGCATGATGTCATATAGTCCTGACTCTGAGCTGCTATTCTGTGCGTACAACTATTGCGAACTTGAACGGTTGGCGCCCTGAGCCTGTTCAAGTAGAAGATAAATAGTGGGGGAAAAGAGAGATTTCATATAATAGAAAATCTGTTATTGGTTTCGTTTTCCCCAGGAATCATAACCTGGGTCACCATTAACAATGACAGAACTGCCAAATAATTCAGAGACAGAGAGCAGTAGTAACTCTTTTCCATCCTCTCCGTCCTCCATTTCATCCTCTGTTTCAGACCCATCAAAACAGGCTAAATTACAGGACCCAGACCAGAAAAAGATCAAAAGGATGAGAGATTGCAGCAAACACCCAGTCTACAGAGGAGTCCGAATGCGCAATTGGGGAAAATGGGTCTCCGAAATTCGCGAGCCTCGCAAAAAATCCAGGATTTGGTTAGGTACATTCCCAACCCCCGAAATGGCTGCGAGAGCCCACGATGTCGCCGCGTTGAGCATCAAAGGAAACTCCGCGATTCTCAATTTCCCCGAACTCGCTGGATCGTTGCCCCGGCCTGCATCACTCTCGCCACGCGACGTTCAAGCCGCAGCAGCAAAAGCCGCAGCCATGGAGGAATTCAATTTAAGGTCTTCGTCATCATCGTCATCATCGTCACTGTCGTCGTTAGAGACGACGCCCGATGAATTGAGCGAGATCGTGGAGTTACCGAGACTAGGGGAGAGTTTTGACTCTCCCGAGTCGCAGAACGATTTTATCTTTGTTGACTCGGTTGATGGTTGGGTCTATCCTCCGACGTGGTTGCAGAGTGGAGAAGATTGTGGATATTTTCCTGATCAGATATCGGCCCCGGAGAGCTTGATTCCAAGCAGCTTTGAAGCTTTACTTTGGGATTATCAGTGCTGAATTGGAGTGTGAGTGTGAAAGTGTGCTATGTCCTCTCTTTCTTCCTTTTTATTTTTTCTCCTGCTTAGTCTTTTGCTTAGCCCTTTTAATTTTTCTTTCAAGGGCTGAAAGAGTCTCTCTCTCTCTCTCTGTTCTTTCTTATTTTCCAGAGTCTGTAACGCTTGTGTACCCCATCTTCAATGAATCTAACTGTACAGTGGTAGGAAGGCAAGAGGAAAGATGCTATAAACTCCTTGGATGGTGTACTCACTTTCAGGCCTCTCTCTCTCTCTCTCTCTAGATGTTTGTTTGGCTAATTGGCTTCGAGCTTATTTAGCTTTCACTTTTTCTGTCTTCAGCAATAAAACCACTGAAAGGTGCATGATTTTAGATTTCAATTTACAAGAACAGCATACATTAATTAAACCTTCTATCATTTCACACTTCCATTTTCCTTTTAAGTGTGAACTGTGAAGTGTGAAGTAAGATTTCAGTAATTGTCTGTAACAAACAAGTAGGGACGTTAAATCATCTCCTCTGTCTGCGTGCTTGTCTTCAATTCAGATTTTAATGATGAATTCAGTAAATGGGTTCCGGTTTTGGAGATAATTGATTATGCTCTATGATGAATTAGAGCAAAATTAGAACTTTCTCGTTTCAGCTGTGAAGGAGTTTCTTCAATTTTATGTTTGCTTGTGAACAGCTTGAGAGCTACATCTCTGGACCCTGTGAGCAAAGAATACAACTGCAAGTCAGCAAGAGTATTCTTCAATGCTGGCTCTTTTCGATAAAGGTGTTTAGTTTGTAGTTAAATACAAGGTGGAGATATTGGAGAAATATAGCATCATCAATCTTGTGGTGGTGAGTGTCTGAGTGATGATGCAGAAACAGTCTGACCCTGCTCTTTCAGTAATTCATTCTCGATCTTGATGGATGGGACTTGGGAGGTAAAGGGAAGGAAGTCGATCCATAACCAAAACTGAAGAATTAAGAGATGGGATTAAACTAGAAAAAGAGTATGAATGGAGAAACAAGAGAGAAAGGGGAGAAACAATGCTTCAACAACAATGACAAAGAAGGAAAAAGAGCTAGGATGGTGAGAAGGTGAAAGAGACAGATAAGTCATTATGGTAATAGAATCTATTAATTGGGTTTTACACATGTCGCCATGAACATGCTTGCTAGTTGCTAAAGAGTAGCATCAAGTCAGACTGAACTCTCTTTGTGTTTTTATTGAAATTGCAGAGAGGATAAAAAAGTGGACAGAGGAGAGGAGGCCATGTTGAAGTTGAATGAATGAATAGATACATGGAATCGGACAAATTACAACAGGGATGCACCCCCAAACCCCACCGAATAGAAAAATAATAGTACTCTTTTAGGTTTTAGCACACCCTCCCTGCTACCTTTTTATCTTCCTAAATTTGTATCTCCATCTCTTTCTGTCTCGTACACAAATGGAAGATGATTAGAAAGATGTCCTTTCCACCTGTCTTACATCTCTACACTTTGGTTTTGGTCAAGAGTACACACATATACCATCTGATTTACAAACCTTATCCTCTTTAATTCGCTGTAAATTTTGACCATAAGCCAGCCCACAGTAAATTCTTGTGACACAAATCGCAAATCACAAATATCGTGTACTCTTCCTCATTGGTCAAAAGTTGGTTCGAACAAGGAACCTTTTTGGGCCGAGATGGACCCCTTCTACCCTATGGGTCTTGGGTTCCATTCTAGGTGTTCTTCAAGGTTGTTCTGCTTCAGTGCCCAAAATCCCTCTCTCTCTCTTCATGGATCATTGTGATCACTTCATTTCATACATCATATCATATGATGCTAACGTTACTAAATACAACATGGTTCCACTGGATATATTATGTATCACTTCACTTCTTTACATTAAAAAAATGGTTATGGTGGATTAGGTGGAGGTTATCTCCCTCTCTCCACTCTTCCTCTGCACGACAGCTCGACTTTACCTGGCAATTTATCAATGTGCTAAATTACAAAAATACCAATAGAGAGCGAGAGAAAGAGTTTATTTGTAGTACTAAGCTGGGGCTATAACTACAAGAATGGACTCTCAATTATTAGCTGCATTTGATGGCTGTGTTGTTGGCTGTTTTATATGCCCCACAGGCCACAACTACTCCAATCTCTCATTCCTTGCATTAGCTTACGTTGGTCATTATTATTGGTTAACACCTCTCTAATAGGGGCCCCACATATGACGAACGTTCTAGAACGGACGGAGAAAAGCTCCGAGTAGCAAATACGGATGGGATTCTTTTGAATTTTGATGGATATGGATGGGATATTGGGATCCATACGGCAAAGCTTGTTCTAAACTCTGAAGTTTAAACTCCGTTTGGACCTCGTGGCCCATAAATATAAGTGGGGCCATAGGATGGCTTAGAAGTCGTCTGATCATGCGGATATTTCTGGTAGTAGAAACCAAAAGTCAGGTCCAGATCCTGTAAGAAAGACACACGTGGCGAAATATGAGCCAAGCAGCCAGGGCGTTTATTAAAGCTCTCTTATAATTATGTTTGTTTGTGAATTGTGATTCGTGAATCGTGAATCGTGATATATAAAATATAGACGCTGAGATAGAACAGCATATCCACCCATTATTTGCTACTTCAAATAATACAGCAAACGACAAACCCCGAAAGCAAATGATCATTTATCAAAAGTTTTCTAAATTGCCGAGACATGTACGGGGTCCTCCACCTAACCCCCTCCCTCCCCTCTTATATTATTTCATAACACCACACCACACCACATCATGGTCTTTTATCTTTTTTTTTTTTTTTTCTTAAAAAAAATAATTATGTGAATCAGCTATATAAGGAGAATATGGACGTCTGTTGAAAGATTCAGCTAAGGAGAATATGGACGAAAAGTTATCGTTATAATGACCGTTACGAGGAGGACGTCTGTTACCTGTTTTCAACATTCCGGTCTAGACTTGTATTCTTTTTCCATTGATTTCCGGTTGGTTCGATACAATGGTTATGTGAGTCATATAGATGTATTGAGATCCATCATCCATGTCATATGTGAATAGTAAATGAAGAGAATTCTATGTTGAAAAAGAACAAAAGGTGAAATGACTTATTTATAACAGTGAGTCAGTGACCCACATTCCAATAACTCTTTAGCGTTTGGGTTGCATGTAGTGTTTATCTCTTGTGTCGTATATGTATAAATCTCGGGTGTTAATCTATAAATACAAATATGCACAGTGTAAGAAAGTGAAGAAATAACTAATATAAGGTTTTGCAATGAACAAATTTGTATTTTATATTTATATTCTTTCTAAACTGAATTTGGAATTAGAGTGCAAATATAAATTATACAATACAAATACATACAGAAATTGATCAAGTCTGCTCAGTTTCATTTGTCTCCGGACTAGCCACGTCCCTCTATATTGGACTTCATCGTTACCAATTAGTGAGAATTGTCCACCCCCTTCACTTTCATGTACCCACTACCCTGCATTTTCTAGTGTTTTCTTCATGCTTTCAGGCCCATTGGATTTGGCCCTATTCCGTCCAAATAAATAATTAAGTGGGGGCTGATTGAAGTACAAATTGAAACTTTTCATTGGTCGACTCCTCTGTCTACAAATGAATACAATCTCTCTCTCTCTCTATTATTGAACACGGATTCTCCACTTGTTGAGATGCATCGTAGGAGAAATCAAATCCTGCTGCCGGCTGGCCCCATTTTCACAGCTGTGAAATATCCTTCCCTCTCCTTCTCTCTCCTTCTCTGAAAGCAGAGGAAAACCCAATCTGGCCAATTCTCTTTTCTATACTGTTCAGTTGTTTAATCAGCAAAAAATGTAGACTTTTTAAGTACTACTAAACAATTCCCCTTTATATTATTACTTACCAAGTCTTATGTCTTTGGTGAATAAGGCAAGTGAACGTCATCTTTGATAATATAAACATGCTAGAGAAAACTAGGTCTCAACATATTACATGGAATGATTAATATTTTGTCATGAAGCATGACAAAATTGAGTAAGAAAATTCTTAGGGTTTGGGGAGACATTAGGTAAGATGCTATGCTAGCATCTAGTTTTTCTTTTATCTACAATTAAAGCATATGGAAGGTGAGCTACTTTCCGCAGAAACTACAAAATTGCATTAGTTGGCTACATCTCTAGAGGTCCTCATGACCCAAGCATGTGCCTGATGATAGAATTCAAGCTAGCTCATTACTTAAGGGGATCGATTTGTACACATAACACATCGCGGTTTTGATGAATCAGGTTCCCCAGTGAAATAAAAAGCCAAAATATGGGTTTGTTTTTGTCTTTTCAACCATGGAATTCTTGCTTCATGATAAGGTGTGTGCCCACTTTATGAAAAATTAATGCCAAGTGCTGATCAGATCAATACCCTAGCTCATTCAAATGTTGGATTTTGCATGATATGGTGTTTGCCCGCCTGATTGGTAATCAGTTTTTGAGGTATCATGCCTTTTCGGTATTATAGTGGGACTTATTAATATAAAGATTGCTTACTTCTTTACTTCTGAAACAACAGCATTTTACTATTTTAAATCATTTTAACTGGTATTTTTCAGAACAAATCGATACTCAATGTTTGGCTAGGTTTTCAGATTAATATAAAACGGATTTTTTTTTTACTACTCTTTCCAGAAGTAAGGCTCCATTTACCAAGAATTAATTAGGGGCGATCCGTTTCAACCTCCTTGTGTTTACCAAATTAAGTATCGATTAATTGTGAATGAAACTTCTCATGCTGTAATTTTCAAATATTTTTTTGATCCAAGAGCCCTCTTTAATTGGAATTTGGGAGGCCTGGATGAGGGTTGACCTAGCTTTTTTATATATTCGTTCTAGGGTTTACTGTTTCTTACACTAATACCAGCCTTCGTGGAAGATGGAAGTTGAAACCCCAGTTTACTTTTTAGGTTTTTTGGTAATGCAAATCCCTGCTTCTTTTTAATCTTTTTCGCACACTCACATATAATAGTTGCCATTTATTTGAAATGATGTTTGATTAATCGTTTATTAAATAAACGTTTATTTCAATTTATGTGAGAGTCAAGTTTTAGGAAAAGTTTAATTTTTATGTTTCCCGTAATGCCGCAGCAATTTTTCTTTTTTATTATTCCACTTATATGGCATCTAATGACTAATGCCTACCTGTCAAAAACAACATAAAAAATCGATTATTAACCACTTTTCTTAATTTTCAAAATAAATCTTTCACAAAACGTTTATTAAATAAAGGACCACAGTATTAAACAGCCTCGTTTTCATTGTGTAAAGTTGACAACTGCGTTGTATATTTACTTTGTTAAAATAATAAACAATTAATATTACCCTATTTCATTAAACTCATCGTCCATC